CAGCTTTTTCTTAGTATATTTATTGTTATAAAAATCTCATAAGTGGTCAAGGAATTTACTTACCTATGATATGATTATATTGTTGAATTATTTTAATTACCCAGAGATAGTTATCAAAAGTTGTAGGTGAAAATAACTTATTTTGTTATTTTAAATAAAGGGTGAAACATTTTTAAAAGTAAAACGCTTCATACAAATTTTATTTTTGTTGCATTTTTAAAAGGTTTTCATTTTTAATTTTAAAACGTTTTTATATAACAACGGCACCTAAAACGTTGTATAATTTTTTTTGTGTACCTATGAGAGATCCCATTTAGACATATAAGCTATTTTAACGCTAAATATTTCTCTTAGTGCACCTCAGCAAATTAATTATTACTATTTTTAGGTCGAAAGCTCGAAATCCATTACAAAGTACACCAGTTTTTATTTATTTTAACAGATCGATGATTAATTTGATGCGCCAAAAACCAAATTATGGAATATTTCGGAACACAATGAACCCCGCTCTGGGATCGAGATCCCCGAAATGTGGATGTGTGGAGACCCCAATGACAGGCCCTTCTTGGAACAGCTGGAGCTTGGCGCTCTCGGAGCACGCGCTCATTAGAGATCAGCCCCAATCGCAGCGGGACTCTGGATCTATGGCTTCGAGGTGGGACCACACCGGGTGTGTGCGCCTACATTAAACTACGCATGCTTATAAAATAATGTTGGGTAATTAATTGCGAAAACTGCGAGCAGCTGCCAGGCAACCGAAAGCCGAAAGATAGAAACTGTTTAGCTAGTTGTAAAATTGTGAATATTTCTACCACTTTCTGGTGGGTAAAGTATATGGTGCCTTCATGTATTTGTCACCCGTATCATTTGCTGTGGAGCGTTAAGGCGACAACAGCAGCAGCGGCAGCAGCCATTTCCAGGTCGTTCGCTTAGTACCGCGTACACTCATAAAAAAAAATCGAAGAATTTCCTTAAAATCTAGAAAATTCTTTCTTGAATTTTTGCCAAAGGCGACCTCACCTTTGTTTCAAGAAATGGTTTTTTTGAAAGGCACCATTAAAACCAGAAAAAATATTTCTTGTTTTAAGAAATTAAATTTCTTAAAACAAGAAAGGGTTTTTTAGAAAGCCACCATAAAAACAAGAAAAAATATTTCTTAAAACAAGAAAGGCGATTCTTGTTTCAAAGGTGGTTTGTTTCTTGTTTCAAGAAATTAAATTTCTTAAAACAAGAAAGGGTTTTTTAGAAAGGCACCTTTTGAACAAGAAAAATTCTTTCTTGTTTAAATTTCCTTTCAAGAAATTTTATTTCTTGATTTAAGAAATAATATTTCTTGAAGGGAAGTTTTATATTAACACCGAAACCCTAAAAATAAAATGTAACTTGGTTTTTTCTTTTGCATATTTTATTTATTTAAATTTAAAACATTTAACACTGAACATTTAAACAATTTTAAATAACACATTTTTGACTTAAGAAAACATTATTATAAACAAATATGTAGTTGCAGGCATAAAAAATTATTTTCTTCGGCTTTCCTCATCTGGAAAAAAAGAGTTATTGGGATATCAATGATTTGTTTTTAGATAAGAATAGATATATGTTTTTAGATAATAGATAATAATGTAATGTTAATAATAGCCAAAATACAAACACGTTGGTCAGACGACCGAGAGAGGAGCAAGACAGGTAGAAAATGAAGAAGGAAGGGTTGAAAATTTAATTTCAGAAAGAGCCACATACATACATATATATTTACCCTTCAGTTCTGGCGTCCCATATCGGGGACAATTCCTTAGGCCAAACGCTCGGCCGCTGTCGACGTCAGCAGAGCAGTCGGTATTTATATATTGCGCTCTCTTTCCTTGTCTTATAATTTGTTGTTGTACTAGAGGAAAAAGCGGAACTCCCATACAATTTTCTCTATGTGGCGTCCTCGGTGCGTCCTCGAGTACAGATGACCTGTCCTCGGGTTTTCCTTTGGTGATTACTGAGGGAAAAGTGACATCTGGTACTGAAGGGTACATACAGTCCTTTGCGCGAAGGGAGACCGAATGTAAGCAGGGCAGATCGTGTCAGTTTTAAGAAGGAGTAGAGAGAAACGTCGCGACGCGTAGGTCAAGCGAGCGAGAGAGAGGAGCAGAATATGAAAGGGTTGAAAATCGGGTTTCAGATCGGGTGAGCCGCGTACATGCATACATAAGTATGTCAAACAAATACAACATATTTTCCTTACCTTAGAATGTTTTAAAACAAAATTACAGCTTCGCTAAACAAATTATTTGGCTGATGCAACTGCAGGTATTTTCACTCTGAAAAATAAATAAAATGCGAGTAATAAGATAAAGTTATTATAGAACTCTACACCCACAGATTTATATACAAATGTATGTATGTACGTAGCTCTTAGCTAAAAAACCATTCAACTAAATTGGTATACGCTTGGTAAAGAGATTTGAAATTTATCCTTTAATTACATACATACAATTGTACGCCCGCTATACAAAAAATTATATATTTACATACCTTTGAATATTTGGAAAAAGGCTTAACCTCTTATCCGCTTGAAAATCACGTCCATCACTCACGAATTTTTTTCACAACTGACGCTCGGGGGATCAGAGAAGTCGGTAGCCGGGTAGGCCCTTCGTCCCACTTCGTTTTTCTTGTCGTTAACATTCGGCAGCCGAAGGAAGTCAATGGCTACTTTCCTATATTCTAGGGTCATTTCATTCATATATTCAAAGGTGATTTTGTCCTAAAATACGTACAAAAATGTTTTGGCTGCGACGGCAAAACAGACATATGAGATTTTCATTTTTCTATTTTTAAGAAAAATTCTTTCTTGAATTTTTTCCATCAAGAAAGGTTTTCTGTATTCAAAGGCCAATTTTCTAATAACAAGAAATTTTTTTTCTATTTTCAAAGGTAGGCCGATTCAATGGCGAGATTTCCAAAATTTAGAAATTAATTTTTATGAGTGTAGTTACGCGTCTCCAGGCCCAATCCCGTATATCTGCCCAGAGTTTCTGGGCCCAATCCCCAACCGCCGGCCCTTTTTAATTACGGGTCACAGTCGCTGAGCAGGGGCAGCAGCAAAAGCAACAGTTGCACCACAGTTTGCCACTGGTCGCTGCCACTTTTGTTACCATTTACATTTCCTGTCAACGGCATTTTCAATTTTCACTTTAACGCCTATTTGCTCCTCCATTTCCTTTTCTCTCCCTGTTAAATTGCTCTTCTTGGTCTGTTAATTGTCTGTGTATGGGTGTGTGTGTGTGCTACCAAGTGGACGCATAAATTGTATTTTATTTTTTGTGGCCTGTAACTTTGGCCCAAATGGCGATGCGGGCTGATCAGGTGAAAACAAAAGACGCAGCAAGCATTAGGCCCAGAAGTGCCCCCGCCCCCGTAAAAAAAAAGTTCCCCCCTGGCTGATCTGGCCCTGATATTGTTGCCACTTGTGTATTCTCATGTTGTGGCTCTAATAAAGGAAAACTTATCCAAGTCAATGACCAAAGAAATGTTAGTTGGGATGGGGAAAGATATGGAAAAAAATATTCTCATATTGCAAAAGGGGTTAAATTAATACAAATTCATTTTAAATATGAAAACTTTATTTTTTTGAATCCTTTCATTTTAATATAACACAAATTTTTGCAACATATTAACTTAATTTTCCAGATAAATTTGACAGCTAAAAGAATGTTTTAATTACATCCTAATTTTTCTAACAAGTTAAACCATTTTAAAAAAGTTGTGTGCAAATGTATTTTTTTTTAAATTTCCAATAATAATATTATAATGTAAAGTAATTTAGAAATCATCTAAATACAAGTATAAATTTAAAAATGATCTAAATACAACTGTAAATTTAAAAAACTACAAAAATTAAGCATTTTAAGCGCCAAAAATGTAATCTAAAGTTCTATGGTCTTTTAAAGGAATGCGATAGAATTTAACCTACACATTGTTTAACGTTTTAATGTTGAATACTCGAACATTACCCAGTCCATTAATCATTCCACTAATCTGCCGAACATTCCCAACGATAAACCCTTGAATATCTATGCTCTCCCAAAGGTTTCCATTGCTTTTTGTTGGCATATCCTTGGACAGAGTTAAACAGAACAATGGGGACTGATAAGCGGCATAATAAGTAATTAAATTTCTGTGATGCTTATCGAGTGTGTAGTCCCCGTCCCCCCAGCCACCAAAATTCCTTCATCCCCGGAACTTCAGAGACTCTCTGAACAGAGAGAGAAAACCTCGGATGCGGCTGTGTGCGTGCTTATCCGACCAATCGGCGACGAGGAGCGACTGGAAGTGAGTGGCCGACTGGAAGGCAATGTATCTGACGGATACGTTTTACCACTCTGCCAGCTGCGACGGCTCCTCTTCGTGGCTGCGTGGAGTTTTTGGCAAATTATGCGGGTGGCTACATCGCCGCCCCCCGCGCTATCCCCTCGCCCCCGCCTCCTTTGGCATTTTGTTGGTTTTTGTAGGTGGAGCCAGAGCCATAATACCATTCCTTTGTTGACAAAACTTGGCACCACTCGCTCGCCGAAGTTTGTTTTTGTCTGCTGCTGCTGCTCATGCTGCTGTCGCTGCTCTTTTGTTTTTCGTATCTGCCAGATACGCGCGCACATCCCGCCCTGCAGGTTGTTTTCGGGGCCCAGCGAAAAGGTCGTCATTCTCACGGTTTAACTCTCGTCGTCGGCGTCGCGTGCGCAATTCAATCCAATCCAACACAATACAATCCAACCGTACCCAATCCGATCCGAGAAACTTCAACTAGCGACGGCTATTCGCGAGATTTGTTCAAGTGACCCGTCGATACAAGTGCCGCCTAATTGGATTAAAATGCTCAAGTGCTGCAATTTCGAGGGGCTCTCAAGTCGCATAAAACTCATTTAAGAGCCGAGCCCAGTTAACTTTTTATTGGATACTTTTATTACACAGCCGAATATCTGGATTAAAGCAGCTGTTTCACTTGGAATATGGTTGTAATGTAAGTTTGGTAAAAAATATTAATATCGTTAAAAAGAAGAATATTTTATGGTACCTTTATTTTGGGGAAATGATTGATTTGCCAAAGGCCAATTACTTAAATAAATTATAAAACATAATACCATTATTTTAAAGTTTAAAATTATTTACAATTTTCAAATTACAAATTCCTTTTCACAATTTCAATTAATAAATGCAAGAAACCGATAACTTATTTCTCTATTTATTTTTTATTTTACCCTTAAGTCCTATCCTTTTCATCAAACGATTAGCAATGAGTTTTAAAATCCTAAATATTTATTAAAAAACACATGAGCCTCTAATAAAAACTAAAATAATTATATTTACCTTTTAAAGTCCATATTCTGCCAGTATTCAAATTACTTAAATTTAATTTATATATTTTTGGTTTTATAAAAAGCAAATTACTCCTAAACGTTGTACAAAATGTAGAAATCTTACATAGTGATTTCTTGCCTTGCAGTAGCTTCTCTTCTTCTCTTACATTCTTCTTTTGTTTCAAAAACTCCTCAGCACTACATCTTCCAATTATTTTTAATCAGAACCCATTGAGCCCATGTTGACACGCGTTAAATCCAAACGTCTGCGTAAGTGTTGAGCTTACAAACACCTCAGATCAATCTGAGATGAAGAATGGGCCACAAATCAAACGCTAAAGAGGCAGCGGGGGAGGTTAGGGTCGGGGAAAATGTAAATGATTCAAACGCTTTATTATCACGCTGAGCATGGGCCACAGCTTAGTTAATGGCACTCCGCTCCAGTCCGCTCCAAAGAGCCGCGGGGTGTGCTTTGGATCCCCGGTCTTCGATCTGGGACCGCAGACCCGGCGGACCACACACAGTCGTAGGCGGAGCGGCGCTCGAGTGAAAGGGTCAAAGAGCTGATGATACCCCGGCCCCTCCGGTTTATAGAGACATATTTTCTAGGTGACAAACTTATTATGAGCTCGGGACGGGGAGACCCGAAAAACAGATCGGGAACGAAGTGAGACGCTATCAGCATCAGATAAGCGCGACTAACGAGCGCCCCGAAGTGTCGAGCAGTCAATTTACGAACCCAAAACAAAGCGAGCCACTAACCACGAACAGGTTCAAAATCTGGGGAACCCAAAGACCACCAGGCGATCGAGCGATCGAGCGACCGTCCCAGGTATTCGGTGTTAGAGAGCGTGCAACCTGCTGACTTCCAAGTACACATAAAAACGCTCATAGAACGCAGACCCATCGGACCGAACTCGATCTGAACAAATTTATTGCTAATTGCAGAGCGAGTCTCTTCTCTAATAACTCCCACACATGGAGAATCTCGGAGGGCCATCGAGTCTAGCAAGTCTAGCAGGCTGACTCACGACTTGAGTGTCGGTTTAATTTGCTTCTCCGCCTCCTCAACTGGCGCTCGAATTACGATTGTGACCAGCTTGGATTACCTCCTCTTGACGGACAAGATTTGGGGCTAACGGGACCAGCCCTTTAAACTGGGCCCACAGAGCTATGCGTTTCATGGCGCCCATAAACATCACAAACGTTTCATTTGATTGGCATGCCTCGGGCTGTTCTGACCCCCTACGAAACAGTTTAGGGCGCAATTAAGATGGGATTTATATTCCAAGCCTAAACGATGCTTAGGCTTAAGCGATTAAGTCACAGTTAAATGGATCACTTAAAGATTTTAGTTCAGCTTAAGAGTGGTAATATAAGGAGTTACAATTGAGGATCGAACTGTGACTCAGAACATTGACAATTGAATTTCAATTTTTTTTTTATAGGGAAATTAATAACAAATGTATCTTGAATAAGCGGATTATATTTTTAGATAAATCCAATTAGTTATTGCAAGTTGGGCCAAAAGATTAAAATTTGGAATTATTTTTATTCCAGTTAAATCGTTTAAATAATTCATAGAATGCCAAAAGACTTTAGTTTCCAGTGACTGCTTCTACCAATATTAATTTTAGTATTACATACTATTTTTAAATTGCCTAAATAAATTAATAAATAATACATTTTCCGTAAACATAAATGCGATTTTAAAAACTCATTTTAAAGTTTGTCTAATTAATTCGTAGCAGCTTTAATTAAAACTAAACTATCAAAAAATATATTATGCATAAAATATATTTATGCCAGAAATCAAGATACATACACAGAGAAAATGATGCAACGTTTTAGGTGCGGTTTTCATACAAAAACGTTTTAAAAATAAAAATGAAAACGTTTTAAATATGCAAAGTAAAATAAATTTGTATGAAACGTTTTACTTTTTAAAATGTTTCACCCCTTATTTTGCACCTAAAACTTTTGACAATTTTCTCTGTGTACGGAATGATTTTGTTTCTTATCTTTGTTGGAGAATAAAATTAGTTCAAGAGAAAGTTTAAGTTACTCTCTTTAAAAAAATGTATAGGTAATTCAACATTTTCAAGATGTACAATACCGTGTTTGTGGTATCCAAAAAAATGTTCTTTTTTATTTTTAATTTTCTTTAAATTATTACCGTAAAATTACACTAAAGGTTTAATGTAATGGTATCCCTCTTTACAGAAATGGCTACACCTTCAAGACGCAGCAACTTCTTACACAGCAGCCCGATCATTCTCAGCTCGCCCAGTTCGCTCAGTCGCAGGGTCAGGGTCAGGGTCCGAATTCGAACTCGAGTCCGGGTCACAATCCAAGTGCTGGCCAGCAGCAGCAGCCTCCAGGTGGCTCCATGACCATGCCGGCTGCGTCGGCGGGCAAGGGGAAACGGGAGTGGGACATCAACGATGCCATTGTGCCGCATGTTCCGGATCAGGAGTTCGACGAGTTCAACGAGTGGAGCGATGGGCATGTCCGACACATCTACTCCCTGCACAACGAGGAGGCCAAGAAGCACATTTCCGGCTGGGCCATGCGCAACACGAACAACCACAACGTGAACATCCTGAAGAAGAGCTGCCTGGGCGTCCTGGTCTGCTCGCAGCACTGCACCCTGCCCAATGGATCCAAGATCAACCTGCGCCCGGCCATTTGCGACAAGGCGCGGCGGAAGCAGGAGGGCAAGGCCTGTCCCAACAAAAGTTGTCGCGGTGGCAGGCTGGAAATCAAGCCATGCCGAGGTCACTGCGGCTATCCAGTCACCCACTTTTGGCGCCACTCCGGCAACGCCATCTTCTTCCAGGCCAAGGGAGTGCACGACCATCTGCGTCCGGATCCCAAGAACTCCAGCGTCTCCAAGAGGGCCTTTGGCCGGGTGCCGCTGGGAGGGAAGTCGGCCAATGGATCGGTGGCCAAGAAGTCGGTGATTGCGGGCCTGGTGAAGCAGGTTAAGGTGAGTGTAAATAGAAAGTAAATCTTTTAGATTTCTTAAATGCTAACTTCATTTTCCCGGCAGCAGCAACAACACAGTCTCATCAGCAAGGTCCTCAAGCGTCCTCCTGCCAGCAATCCATTGACTCACTCCGCTTTGGATATCTACCAGTACAATGGTAAGGCTTTATAATAAAACAAGAGCTAGGGAAATCCCAATCTACATATTTTGTACACTTTTGATAATATTTAATTGTTCAGTTTAAGTTGTAAAAGTATTCTTAGATTTTTTTATTATTTTGGAAGACGAACTCCAAATATTTTTTAGATATGCCAAATCTAGTAATCTAGCGATATTTCCATGCATTTAAGATTTTACAAGTAAAATAAAAGTCTTTGAATAACTGCTATATGTTGTGGGATATATAAAAGTCCCATGATGAAAGTTTATTGAATGAATCAACAGATTGCATGAAAATAAACAATTCTGCGTTTTTAGAAAAATTCTACCTATTTTTCTTCATATTTTATTTTAAAGGACTTTTAAATAAAATAACTGTTATTTTCGGTCCCTGCTAAAAATGGTTAATAAATTAAAAAACACTGATTATAAAATTAATTAATTATTTTTTATTAATCACTTAATTTGAAAATGTTCTCTAAAAAATTTAAGAGTTAAAAAACATTTCATTAAAATTTGTATAAGTAATTAAGTTATGAATCACCATTTTTGATTATTAAATACCCTTTTAAAAATCTTTTTTCCTCATTAGCCTGTGGCAAGTGCACCACCTACAGCCACTGCACCTGCAGCTACCTGGAGGACTCGACCACGGCGAGGAGCCACCAATTGTCGCAGTCCTCGAATTACGGCACCGGCACCAACTCCTGGCCCCTGAGTGGATCGGAGTCGTCGGCGCCCTGCGAGACAGCAGCCAATGTTTTCACGGTAAACCACCAGCACATCACCTACAACTATCCCATCTACCACGCAACTCCGGCGGCGGCAACAGCGGCACCCAGCAAATCACCCAGTTTGCCCTACACCTGCAGCATTTCGGAACTGGCCGCCTATGGGCAGCAATCCTCCAGTGGAAACTCTTACTCTTACCCCCATGGACACAGTCAGTGTCAGGCGCTGGGATACGAGTCCAGTCCTCAGCTGGCCACTCCGGAACCGGAGTTCATCAACTACTCGCAGATCAAGCACTTGGCTGGCGGTGGTCAGGAGGAGATCATCAGCTGCAAGGGAGAACCGGGGGCGGGTCTGCCGCCCACTATTAAGTACAATGCCACGGTGGAAACTCAACCGTATGTGGAGGACAACTACGACTACTACTACAGTCCCAAGGCGGAGTACGAGATGCAGCAGCAGCACCACCACCACCAGCAACAAGCGACCCACCAGCAGTTCGGAGGAAACCAGGCGACGGGGCACCATTACTACGAGAGCGGAAGTGGTTACAACGGAGTTAGCTACTTCGACACGGGAACCACTGCGGCACCCGGAAATGCCGCCACCGGAAATGGATTGGACACCGGATATGGCAGCTATTACGATCACTACTCCAGCTACGAGCAACAAATGGCTGTGGCTGCTGGTGGATTCCCTTCAACCGGAGGAGGATCCAGTGTTGCGGCTGTGGCCCCGCCCCCTGGACACCCACCGCCTCCGCCACCACCGCCCACGCTGACGTACCACCATCACCACCACCACCACTTGCACCACTCGGCGGCGACCTCGGCACTCGCCCCCTCGGTCACCCATTGAATAGTACTTAACGATTCCGGACACCGGAGGATTACTCATAGTCGATAACTAGGCATATAGTACCATAGCATTAGGATTAGTTGTGAAATCTTAATTTCCACCTGTACGTGTAGTGTTAAAGCGTTTTCTCATTGTTTTACCAGGCAAATAAATTATGTCAAGTGTTGAATTGTAAAAACAAATAAATTTGATTTCGAGAACCGAATTTTGAAAAATACAATAATTTCTAACGAACTTTTGGATAGGTTCTATAAACGAGAGCTAGATGTCGCACTTAGTAAAAAAGTTGTGTAGAATGTGTGTAAAATAATGTAGATACAAATTGTGGGAGTTTTGCGAACGATTAACAATATCTATAGTATCTTTATAAATTAAACAGATCTTTAAGTTCTTTAGCAACCAGTTTTTTATGTTTGAAATTTTAAATTCAAATTGAAATGGAAACTAAAAATAAAAACGGTGAACTAAGTAGATACATTTTGCTTCCATGAATTAGGAGTTTTTGGAACTATCTAAAAAATTATACTCTGCTTACAAAAGGTTGCGTTAGTCATAGCTTGTTTCATTATTTTTTTGATTATCTAATTTTACCTAAATTAATAGTTGTAGATAACCAATTTATAACTGCCTCTAACGGTTTTTTTCACCGCCCTCTACCGCCCACTCATTGAACCCCCGACAGAGTTGCTTTTCGATCAGCCCACCTCAGGTAATCCACCACCACCAAGCGTCGCCGGAGAGAGAAAAAGAGAGAGCCATTTAGCGGGGAAAAATATAGGGATGTCGAAATATTTACAAATATCGTATCGATGATATTTTTTATTGAAACAAATAATTAAAATGATATTTGATATATCAGAAAAAATATATCTATATATCAGATATTGTTGATATTTTTGTTTAATATTTTTTTTTTTAATTTTAAGCTGCATAAGCAATAACCACTAAACGATAATCCACATACGACCTTAAATTATATTTTTATAATTTTTAGTTTATATTTATTAATAAATAAAAGAAAACAATAATTATTCTTTTGCTTTCTTTTGCTTTTATTTATAATATTCAAATCAAGTATTTCCCGCGAATTTTTTTTACCGCGTTTTCTTGAATTCTGAATGCTATGCTATGCATTTTCACTTGCCGAAAAATAAATTTTAGCGGCACATATGTATTTTTTCTTGTAGCGATGAAACCTGATAATTATTTAAAAAAAATATCACGATAAAAATATTTATTTATTTGTAAAAATATCGATATATTGATATATTTTCTTCATCCCTAGAAAAAAATCTATAAAAGGAACCGCACCGCGCTCTTTGTGGAAAAAAAGTCAAGCTGCGTGGTGTGAAGAGCTGCCCGAGTGCTAATTAAGTAACTTTTGTACATTTCTACCGGTTCCGAATCAAACCCACATCTCCCATCCAACATGGTGTACCAGGTGAAAGATAAGGTGAGTCACTTCAACCGGATCTGTACCCTACGGCAGGCGTCATCTATTGGGTAACCCGATAACCCCCCACCCCCTTGACCCTTCGGATTCGGGCATTTTTCGCCAAGGGTCTCTGAAAATATGTCATTGGAATTGGCATTCCAATTACCCGCTCATTCTGAGTGATTGGATTTTCTCCGCTTTTCGCCATACGCTCGCACACGAATAGAACTCGACTCACGTACGGTGGTAAAAAACGAACGAGAAAGTTCGAATAGCGAAATAATGATAGTGATATCATCATCCCATGGACCGCTCTGCGGGTTTCAGTCTCAGACTCGGCGGAAACCGAATTTTTAATATTTCCCAACCGCCTGGCCCGAGCTAGAGCTCCATTGACTAATCTGACATAGTGCCAAGATATACTATATAGTTATATAGACGTCCATGTGTGCTTGTGCGTCTGGCATGAGTTTGCAATTCATTATCGTGGTCGCGGCTTGGTTTGTTGGTTAGAAATATTCGAATAGTTGCCATAGCACAGGGTGTGCTCGACGCTCAGAAGTTGCGCGCCATACGACAAGCTGTGAATCCAAGAAAAAGAGAGGAATCAGGGGTGGAGGGAGACGGGGTCGCGTCCAACCGGTCGTGCGCAACTTTTCATAAATACAAATATTACGTCAGGGAATATATAAAAGTAAATACTTAAAAGCATTTCTTATAATTTTATTTCCCAATATTCACTTGTATATATAGAACACTCAAACATTGCCCCCTTTGCGGTCTAATTTTATACAGCAAGCCACACAAAAATATATTTCACTTTTTAAAAAACCGCTAGAAACTTCTAGAGATTGTTTTATCAAGTCGGGTTTAAGTTAGGTTATCTAAAATATTAATAGATACCTTATTAATTGCGGTTGTTGGTTATTGTTAGTCAGATTTGGTTTATTTCTTACCAAATGAGTCAGTACTTTGGAAGATCCATTTGAATCATCTTTGAAATCATTTGTCCAACACCAGCTTAGTCATCTTGGGTTTTTTGTGTCTGCAATGGAAATGATCTAAGCACAACCAAAATATTTAATAGGATAGATCAGGTTGTTTTACATTAGTCAGAACAACTTGTGTCTAGTTAAAGTTACTTAATGCCTTATGCAAATTCCACCAAACCGGTTGCCCATTCCGTTTGAAATCATCAATTCCATTAGAACTGTTTCTTTGCATGTGTTCTGCGATTGCCATCGGCAGCAATTAATTAAAGGTCACTGGGAAAACGTGTCATGGGCGGAACTAAGGGTGGGAACTGCCCACAACCACACACCTTTCAGAATACATATAATTTCGAAATTCCTGAAATATTGATTTGTTGCTCACTCGATCAAATACAGAAATTGAAATGAAATAGTCCCGAATTCTCTAGTTTGCATATAGGAATGTGTTAGTTTCGAGGCACACAAATTAAACCCGTCAATCGGTGATTACTGGGTCCGATTACAACTTGGCAACTTTGGGGATGTCTAACAACTTTGTGTCGGAACAGAACCGCCTTATCGCTCACATGTCCGAGATAATGATGGGGTCTCCCCCTCTACATCTGAAATCATGTACCCGATTGTATCGGATCAATGCTCGATAACCCCAAATCATTTACTTTAAAAGAGTGTTTTCCCGCGAGAGAAAGAACTAAAGTAGGTCATGGGGAGTGGAAATATGCGATGATATTACTGAAAGATAACACTAATTTACAATTTCCATTTGCAGAACGACCTCGATGGACAGCTGACGAAGGCAGCCGGCAAGCTGGTGGTGCTGGACTTCTTTGCCACCTGGTGCGGACCCTGCAAGGTGATCTCGCCCAAACTGACTGAGCTGTCCACGCAGTACGCCGACAACATCGTCGTCCTGAAGGTGGGTTTCTAGATAAGATTGCTCAATATTTAAATCCGAACCCTTACTAAACTAACTCCTTACAATAGGTCGATGTGGACGACTGCGAAGACATTGCCATGGAATACAACATCTCCAGCATGCCCACCTTCGTGTTCATCAAGAACGGCGTCAAGGTCGAGGAATTCGCCGGAGCCAACGCCACGCGTCTGGAGGATGTCATCAAGGCCAACATCTAAGAGGGCACACACACGTCTGGCCGTCCCCTTGATCCACCTATGAGTTCTCTTCATAACATTTAGTTAATTATTCCATAAGTGCAGGGTTTGCTCAGTTCCCGATGCCCCCAAGTCACTCGGAGCTGCAGTGCAGCTGCCAAGTGGCAGCATCTAGAACCGCAACAAAAGTGAGAAACTAAGTGGCTTTTAATCGTAAAATTTGCTTAATTAACAAAAACAATAAATCACACAAAGATTGTTCACTTTTGTATTGAAAACATTAAACGAACGCAATTGTAGCCAGTTGTCCAAGAGTAAATGCTATTAAAATAAATGTAATACACATTCACCGCTTGTAATTATTCGCTTGGTTAGAAATTTCTAAGGGGGAGCGGGTAAACTGGTGGGATTAAGGAATGGCAAACAAAATTGTGAAATGGTAGCCTGGTCAAATATCAGTATACACAAACACCCAGGCAAAGCCCGTTATGGTTAAGTAATAACGATTAAAATCGGGTAGCTACCGATTAGATAAGATACGACGGGAACTTCAACAAGCAAGTGGAGAGGGTGCTCAGAGTGGTAGTTCCGGAGTCAAAATCTAGTCCAGACCAACTCAATTTTAATTTTAAAACTCCTATCGTATAATGACCTCTTATTATTTATTTATTTAAACTTTATAGAAACAAAGTACTGGCCCAAAGTAATGGTCGTAAAAAAAAACTATAAATAAATTTAAAAAAAAGGAATAACTTAAATTTATTAAGAAAAAGTATTTATCGCTTTTTATCCTCGCCGGGATTAATAATTTATTATTTATTTTTTAATCTGTGAGTTGAGGTCATAATAGAAAATAATGTCAGTTATTAATATATTGAAAATTCACAAAACTCAATTCATCATCCTATAGAATCACTATAGTGACGAATAATATGCGAATCGCGTATTAAAAGATTCCCCTTTAAATATTAAAAACAAATTATTGAAACTATAAACATCTTTAAAAGTTAAAGCTTGTGTAAAATTTTTAATGTTTAATTTTAAAATATTAAAATAAGGAGTATCGTATTTCAGAATTATTGAAAAAAAATTTATTACAGAAAGAAAAAATTTTTTTTCCCAAAAAAAATGTACGTTACTCACAAATGGGACGCTATTACAATTTAATTTTTGAAAAATCTTTATAGTTTAATACTAAATTATGGACTATTATACCAATCTAATTTAGCAGATTGGTAACAATATAAAAATGTATTGCTAAACACTACCTAGATGCATGATAATAGTGGACAGTATTTTTGAATGCATCGCCAATGTAATTCTTGTCATGAACGTGAATAATTTAAATAAATAAAAACTAGGCAAATCAAAATTGTGAGTGCTTAAAGGTCTTCGAAAATAAACCGTTATATTAAGGTGAACACCTGGTAATTTCCTTAGTCGAGGTGCAAACCAAAAGCAGCCCTGTGTCAGCTGTGGTGGTGGTGGGTGCCGCTCTCTCGCTCTCTCTCATTCCACTCGCTTGCAAATTGCATGCTTTTTTTGTATAAAAAATAGAGAGAGAGAAAGCCCGTTTACGTTTTGACTACTTACGTTTTTGGGAAAAAGTTGCGCATACGACATGGTCACACAGGAAAACAAAAAGCAAAAAATCGGGAAATCGGAAGGTTGGACGCGGAGAGAGAATTCACCGAAACAACAACAGACAAGTCGCAGGGGCTAAAAAGAATAAACCCAGGGAGAGGGAGAGAGACGGGTGTCGGGGCCGAAATAAGCAATATTTTCGTTTTCTGTGATTTTCGAGTGTGACGGGACGGCGTGTTGTGAGTGCTTCCGAGCCAAATTACGAATCGCGCGACAGTGGCCAAAATATATTTTTATAGCAACAAGCGACGCTAGCGAAACGGAAATAAATCAGAGCACCCAAAGTGCAGAAATGCCGAGGGCATTTGCATAATTTTCGGGTCGTCTTAGCGAGAGTTGTATAATAAAATTGCGAATCCCGGGCGGTAGGCGCGGCTCACCACAAATGGACGGGGAATGCGGCGACGGCCCCACCACCACCACCACCCCATCCACCGCCACCCCAGCTGAGAGCTCCTCCGAAGCCAAGACCCAATCCCAAAAAATATCAGAAAATGTCTAGTGCCCACTACCAGGCACTCGAGCCGCAGACTTCCGACGAGGATAACGAGGACATCGAACGGCCGCTCCACCAGAACCACCTACGTAGCAGCTACACCTCCTCCTCCTCCTCCTCCGCCTGCAACGCCCCGCATCCCATGGTCAGGAAGGCGTCAGGGGGCGTGGCCAGGCGCCGCTGCATACTGCCCCTGGTGGGCGTGGCCCTGTTCTTCGTCGCCTTCTGCTACCTCACCCTCAGCGGGGACACCCGAATCGCCCTGGGACTGGGCGGTGGTTCCGAGGACTCGGAGGAGGGCTCCCACCACGGATTAGGTAAGCAAGGGGCTCTCTTTATGGCGACCCCTCGTCCCGCAGACTGGCTGTTGAGGTATACCCGCCAAGGGGCAGCAAGAACAGAACTTCAGGACATTATAAACGATAGAACTCAAGAGATCACAGCATACGAAACTGAACTTAGGCTAGACAGTCAAGAACCCAATCCGAAAAAACCCCCGAGAAGGCATCGTTTCAAGCCGAAATACCGTGAGTCACGCTCCTCTCCAAAGTTGATCCCCTAGGAGGCGCAGTGAGTGCATTTTCACGACCGCTGGCCGAAAGTGAGTTCGCCGCTCTGCCAACACTTTCACTTTTCATTTGGCCCACTGCCAATCAAAGCTCAGGTCACCCTACACTCTGTGGGGACGTTCAGTGCCTTCAATACGTTTGTGAATTTTCAAAACAAAATTTTCTTAATTAATTCTACTTTTATTTTTATTCACATTATTATTTTCACATTTCTTTCTTTTTTGTTATTTTTAAATATTTATTTAGGTTTCTTAGAAATATAAAAAAAATTTGTGTAAATATTTTAAGTTTTCACACGTCGAAATCAGTTTATACTTATGTTTTTATTTCTTATACTAATTTAATTAAGAAGTCTACGAAATTTCGCAAATTTTTATTATACCAACGTCATTCTTTGATTTGGCTTCCTCAAGGCTTTCCAAGTCGTTGTGACAGCACCACCTTATTTCCGAGTAAGTTGGCTGCGGCAATTATCGCATGTAACTCGTCGGCTCGGCACAGTTGCTTTCCCACTTCGGCTACTGGTTAGTCTGTTGGCTTTTTTATTATTTAACCGTAATTGGATCTATTTGGTAACTATTGTCTTCTCCAAACGCGATGTATATATATCTATAGCCACCCACCCTCGCCTGAGGCGGCAATTACATGGATTCGCCTGTTGGTCGTTTTTTATTGCCATGGGTAAAAGCCGGGACAAGGTCAAATTTTCCAGTTTACTTGGCATTTTCCTTGAAGAGCCCTTACAAGGGTGGAATTAATATTGGCCACAAAGAAATCATAAAAGAATAGACTCGCCTAATCTTATCTATTTTATTATGTTAAACAAATAAATCTTTACTTCAAAATTGTTTATAGATTAGAAGGGTGTAATCTACATTCGCCGCAAAGAAAGCATAGAAAGTATGGTCCTATTTAATCTTATCTATTTTATTGGATTAAGCTATTAACTTTTTAATTTAAAATTCATTGTTTTTACCCACACAACTGGCGACCTTTAGACAAACTCTTTTATAGAACATATCTCCTTAATTAAGTTTATTGGTTATTTATTGGCTCATCACGTTTCCGGAATAACGAGGGATTTGCAGAATGAAAACAAGGCAATCAAGTTGCAAGGCCATTAATGAGTCGATTGAAGCTTTAAAAGGAAAGCAGATTTTTTTTCGTAAATTATTGACAGTTCTAACGATCGGTCCTAAAAGATTTCGATACTGGCTTGAAAAGAAATAAATAAACATAGAAATAATTCCATCTCTTTCTACAGACATGTGATCTACACTCGATCTAGACAAACAAATCCGAGCTAAGCAAGCGATTTGAGTGGCACCAATTGTCTAATTGCACATTTCCCCTCAATTTTGTAGTCTCTAGATATCGCATTGTCCAGTACTCGGAGAAAAAGCTTTTAGCACTTTTTATTAGGCGAACCGACTTGATTGTCTCTCATTTCGTGAGTATATTTCACACCTCCCAAAGTCTTATCAACATCTTGTCTGAAAAGCGAAGAGGGGGCAAAACATCTGTAGGTTCTGGTGTCAGAACTCAAATATGAATATATTTATAATTCACCCAGCATTCATTCACCTTTATTCGGCTCAGCTGTTTTGAGTCTATTTTAGTATCTTCTCAATGTCGCGTGTCGAGTGTTTGCTGTCAGCTCTCCTCTTCCCCAAGAGCTATTGTTGTTCTAATTTTGAGGATGCTACAAGCTCATTTGACTATGCACTTTAGAACACGCTACCGTAAAACTAAATTGCCATCAAATTGTCTGTGCAAATATTTACAATTTGTAAATTGCCTTCATAAATCCATGCCCATTCGAAATTTGTACATAAATGCATTGATAGCTAATTCAGCGGAATTGGAAACACATTTCGAATAAAAATTTCACTCGGTTTACCTGGGATGCCCCTATTTCCAAACGATTGTGGTAACGCTGTATCCGTGCAGAATACATATATAGGTGCTTGAAATAAAAATTTCAAACAGAATTTCAAACACATGTAGAATAAACATAACATTTTAATCAGCTTGGTGGGGAGTTCCGATGTCAAACAATTACTGAATCGCTATATCCATATGGAACAAGTGCTGCAGATAAGAATTCAGACACACTAACTAACAACTGAAAAAAGATAAGATTCGAGTAAATATTTGGCGATAAATATTGCAATAGGTTATATAATCTTTCGAATGAAGGCACGATAAATATGGTATTATCTGGGACAAAATGATAATATGATATGCAAACGTATCAGTGATGTTCGCTGTACCTAATCATGGGTTTTAGATTTGAAGCTGGGTGCTATCCTACACAAGAAAATATCTTTGAAATTATTATTTATTTAATTTATAAGAAGGTCAACAAACTCGGGTGCCATGGGTTTTTAATCTTTTTTAAAGATATCTCTGAATTAAAAAGGTTCATTATATTTTTTTTAACTCTTATAAGTATAAATTGAAAGATAATGAGTAAGTTGATTTCAGAAACAAAATACTCCGACGATAATGGCAAATTTGGGGCTCTTCCAGATTATTTATTAGTCATTTCCATTGGGCTAATTCTACTTACGTTTTGCGACGTTTCGACAGTCTTATCGGAAAAAGCCATTTGCAAATCGATCTTTTCGATTTCCGCGTTTAACAAAAGAGTGAATGAATATGATAAGGGGGAACCGTAAAATACTTTGTGACTAACGTTGCTCGTAGATCAGGTGTCTGGGGAATTCTCAATTGCCCGCAATCAGGCTGTTGTTCTACATCATCCATGTAGATATGGGCCATAATTAACGGCCAACTGTACGTGAGCGTGTGATTAGGCCCAGATTGGTGTCGCACCCCATCGATAAGTGCCTGGTTTATCTGTGGGGTCTGCTGGGTTGAAATAGGTCTGAGTGGTGGGAGTCACCGGAGTGCCGGCACCATACTTAAGCCACGTGCACGTGTCCTGGGGACAGCCCCACAATCAGTTTTATATCAGCGCACGTTAATGTTCATTAGGTGGCAGGTATGCGTAAATATTCGTCATCTGGAATACCCACAGACCATTATTTCGTCTATTATGGTTTTGTCGAACCCGCCTTTGTGGTGTGACACTTACTTTTCGGGTTTGACATTTCGGTTTCGATTCGGGGTTCGGGTTATGTTTGCTTTGTCAATATTTAATAACTTATTAGGGAATACCATCGCCAGCCTTTCTTTTTTATTGCCAATAGGTCTAGAGGGAACGACTTTCAGGGGTTATTTACTCGCGTTTTATTGTTCGTTTCCGGTTATCAGCAATATTTATCAAAAGTGGGTCTTCCTTCACTCTGCGGTGACCCCAATTGCGTGCTTTTCGCCTTTCGTTCTGGAATAATGGTAAGGTTCTCTAATGGCATCGGCTCACGCAGTCGATCCAAACACATTAACGCTTCGATAGGAGGCGAAAGATGTCCCACGCGGATTATCCCATTAGGTAATTAACTGCGGTATCTTCGATTTCACGTCGGAGCTTTAAAATGTATGCGTAGAACAAACATTCGTATCGCTACTCTCTTGAGTTTGTTTGGAGAGTGACAGGCACTTTATCTAAGCGATTTAACCCGGCTTAAGTACATTTTTCGTTGAGACACCGATTAGCACCTTTTGAGAAGTTGAGAGACACCTTATAAACTTTTTATCATCGCTTTGAAGCACCAGATTGCCATCTCGGCACTACAGCACGTAGTTGAGGCTGAGTGCCTCAACTGGGGCCAGAGGTCAATGAGTTGAGCTATTTTAGTAGTTCTAGTAATTGAGAATTCTGATTAAATCATAAAATCTTCGTCATCAGGCAGTGGAATTTCAAATGTAATTGACCCAGTTTAACCTTACAACTCTTGTTTTTCTCACCCACAGATAGTATCAATTTCCGGCCACTCAACGAAAGCCTGCACATTTGCAGCGAGAGCTATGAGGATCGCCGGCAGTTCATGCAGGATAAACCGCGATCTGAATATGGACAGTTGCCGATTATATATTTCGTAACTCCAACGTATCCAAGGCGGGAGCAGATACCAGAACTAACCCGTCTGGCGCACACGCTGCTCCATGTTCCGCGATTGCACTGGCTGGTGGCTGATGATCAGGAGAAGTGCAACGGCTATATGGACACCCTGCTCAACCGATTCGGTAAGAATCTTAGCATTCTGTGCTCGGATTTTTATAATTAACATTTGTATGATTTCCAGGCATGCCCTATACCCATATGGTAAGCCCCATGCCCAGCAAGTTTCGAAATGAAAAGCCAGCCCCGCGAGGCGTCGCCAATCGCAGGGCCGCTTTGCAGTGGCTGCGCCAGCACAATCTCACCAATGGCGTACTTTACTTCGGGGACGATGACAACACCTACGACCTGCGTCTGTTCTCAGAGATCAGGAAAACGCAACGGGTTTCCATGTTCCCCGTCGGCCTGATTGCAGATTATGGGGTCAGTGGACCAGTAGTGCGCAAAGTAAGTGGTCCTTATCTCCCTCACCTTGATGACCTTGATTATACATTTCATTTCGATGTTAAGAAACAAAATATGTTAAGTACAAATAATAACTGCGAGTGCATTTAACAATTTTACTACAATCCCGATTTGATAACGATGTAATAAGCCCGTCGCCTAACAAAAATGTACTGGGAAAATAATTTATTGCCTTCTTTGTATTTTAAGGCGAAGGTTGTAAAGTTAAAAGATTGACATATAGTCATTATTTCAGTGAGTAACTGAATTGAGCAAAATGTCAGCTTAAAACTGCTCTCACTAAAAAGAGAAATAGGGTTTCCCATATAATAAATCATAATGCATAAAATATTAAATACCTTTGAAAAAGGTACAACAATTTTTCTTAGGTGCCATAGACAATCTTAGATAATTAAGGTTTTATACTTGTCTAATGGTCTTAAAAATTTGATTTGTAAAACAAGCGTTAATATATACTTATTAAATGTTTTAAAAAATATTTTTACTTGCCTAATTAAAATAATGAATTTGTTACTAATTTTTTCCCTTTCTCTTTTTCAGGGCAAGGTGGTAGCTTTCCTGGACTCCTGGGTGGCCGGGCGGCGCTGGCCAGTTGACATGGCTGGGTTTGCCGTGAACTTGGAGTATATGGCGCAGTATCCCTATGTAAATATGCCGTACAAGCCAGGATACGAAGAGGATCTCTTTCTGCGCAGCATCGGTCTGCAAATGAGTCTGATAGAACCGCGAGGTAACAACTGCACTGAGATTCTCGTCTGGCACACCCAGACGAAATCAAAAAAACTGGGAATGGTTCGGCTAGAAAGCAAATATTTGGACGATCGTTCAAACCTGGGCGCCCTGCTTCTCAATCTTAAACTAATGGGCGTGGCCAGTACAACGGAAAATGAAGGTGAGCTATAAAAATGATAATTAATCGCGTATAAATACCAATTTTATTGTTCTGTATAATATTCTTTTAGGACGCAATGCACTGATCAGCAAGAATGGCAAGGAGAAGCCGCACTCTGCCATATTGAGCTGAGTCCCAGGGTCCAACATCCGAAGGAGAGCACGAATAATACTCGTAGACTTATAGAGCTAATTGTATAATATTTCTGTAACAAACCCAATCTCGAATCACCCGTTTCTTGTATTCCATGGAACTTTTCCGTTCTAGTTATCAGTCGTTTTCGCACTGCACAATATCTAGAATATTTAGTTTTTTACGACTTGCGTCGGTGTTGCCTCTCTGTTCTCGGTTCTCATCATAATGTAATGTTAATAAAAATTATGAATGTATTGTTAATTAGTTGTAGATACGTTCGTTCGTGATAGAAAGATAGGAAGCACAGGGAAGGCGACAAAGATAGGTTCAGGACTTATTTAATTATATCACAATCGCTGACAGTAGGTTGTAAACTGTTTATTACTTTCTTATTCTACTTTCTAATTTGCTAAGCAAGATAAAGTCATTTCTTTATAAGCTATTTAGATCAAGACCCTAGGCAGCTTGTTATTGTTGTCAATCACCTCATCGACTTGCAACATTAAACACATATCACAAAGCATGGAATAAATTATTTAGGCTTATATTATATATTTATATATTTTCGAAATCCCCTAAAAGCAAGCGATTTAGTAATGGGCAATAAATTAGAATGACCTATGTCATTTTTAATGTAATCCTAATATGTAGTCTGTAAACAGTCAATAAGATAGTAAGCCATAATGTGAATGAAATAAATGCTAGTTTTATAAAGCTTTCCCCGAAATAATTAAAGGTGTTTTAATCACTTGATAACGGAAATGGTACCACGTAAAATGTTCCTTTCGAAGGGATTCTATTCAGGAAATCATGTAAGTGCTTTATTTTCATTTTAAATATGAAATTACAATAAAGAACTTGGTTCTTTCGTCATCACTTTGTAAGTGAAGTCTCAAGGGAATAGAATGACACAAAATAGCAAACAATACTTTTCAATTAACTTTACGTTCTCTCGACACCCGTTTTCTTATCCCTATACCCCAGCTCATTCCTCATACCATCGCATCTTTTACTTTGCAGTAGTTCACTTTGAATGCCCGACAGCATTTCGTGCTGGCTGCAAAAGTCGAACAGCTAAGAAAAAGTTACAACTTCCATTTAAAACATGAGAGGGATCTAAGAGGGAAAAGCTAGTGTAAAACCTTTGATACCCTACAATCTTATTAACGATTGAACCGATACACAAAAAGATATGATATTTTAAAATTAATTTGTTCGGGAGTTCGGAGACTTAAGAACAACTTTTAATTCTTTCAATTAACTTTCTTAACTCTTGTTAAGCTCGGTCTACCATCTGAATACCTTTATCCAAAGTGAGCGAAGACTATTCTGCTCCAGTTTCGAAGACCCCATCGGTACAGGTGAAACTGAATACTGGGATCCGGGAATGGGTGCCTGAGTCATTGCAGCTGGGAATGGCACGAACGTGTTGCATATGCATCTTCTTCAATGCGAAGTTATGAGCCAAAGTTTCGTTGCACGACGAGGAAGAGGACTTGTGTGCTACGTGTGAATAGGTCTCCGCCGGAGCAGAGTTCCTCGCAATTGGGGGCAAATAAATAGTCGGGCCAGAGAACTTTTGTGCTCTCCGCCGGAAATTTGTTTGGCAGGAAAATTGCTTTAAAGTGTCACGGGGCGGTTGGCATCCATTAATACTCGAGTGGCACTCCCTGGGTGGTGGGTGGTTCCTTACTCTTCAGTCAGCCATGGATGAGGTGGCGAATCGAAAACAACTTAAAATCGGGCTGGCTTGTGGGTTCTGGCTGGTGTCACCCCCGTGTCTGTTATGACCAGGACCTGACCCAAACGGCGATGGCCCGCATTAAGCCATTAAAGCTAATTAAACCCAGCCGCCCTGGGGCCCAGACTAACGCCATCAATCCCCCCTTATAATGCCCTTTCCCATCCAAAGTTGAGTTGCCTCAGCCGGTCGACGAAAGCTTTATTAAACGCAGCCGCTTCTGCTGCCATCGCCGTAATGAGTGCGGCTGCCAGCAGACAACTTGATGAGGCTGCGATTGATGTTGCAAATGAAGTCGTTCCATCCATGAGCAGCCAAGGGCGCAGGGATCGAGGACAGGATGTCGTGGCTTGTTACACTTTGTACGTCACTATTATCTACACTTGTAAAAAATAAACTGTTTTTTGTAAAATGTAATCGAAAAATTAAATTAAATGTTTATTTAAATATTCAAAGAGCCATCCGAACTCGAATTCAAACCAAAGATTAGATAATTATAGAAAACTAATGCCTTTCCAAAAATTTAAAAATAACAAACAGTTTCAGTAATTTTATGAAATAAATTAATTACAGAAATAAAATATTCACAGGTCTATAATTTTATTTTTTTTTTTAAAAAAAAGGAAATTTCCACAAGGATTAATTTATACTTAAAAATATGTTCAATTTTGTTCACTGCAATGGCGCTGATTTTGCGGCACTTAAACTTCAAATGCAAACCACAAGCCAGGCAAGCGGACAGGACGCCGGGAATGAGGGGGAAGATGGGATGGTGCGGATTTGCTGCAACTTGGATGCCACTTAGTGTCGCCATGACGAGCGATGGATACAAAGGGAAAGCGAATCGTGGCGGAAATGGGAATACGGAAGTGCTTCCGACGGAGAGTTGATCCAGGCACCATCGACCCACGCAAACTCTGAATCTAACTGGCACAATTTTATTTGCTCGCTGCGAAACCTCTTTCTGCATTCACTCGGTAGCGATATCCCACGAAGGCTGCTGGGCTAATCTGCCACGGAGGGATCGACTTTGAACGCATCCTGGGACTGCACATAATGCTTGTCTCTTCGGAACGCATCCACCCTTGGCGACTCATCTTCACACTGGAAAGGCTTTCCGAACTAGAAGACGAGGATTCATCGGATAGGTTTATACCCAGTGCTGAAGAACATGTACAAGTAGCTATTGCCTCAACATCCTCTTTTAAATCAATGTTCAGAAATCTTTTGATGGACATTTTATTGTATTACTTAAAATCTATAAACAACGAGAGTTGTCCTTTAGAAATAGCTATCTGAATAAAAATATATGAATGACTTCCTTTTCAAAGGTTGTATGTATACCTTGTATACCTATCTTTGAAAATGTAAAACATTTTATAAGTTACTAAAAATTATTTAAATATTTTAATTTCAAATTTCATTTCATTTTCATACGCAGCTAAAAAATAAAACCAAAATGCTTTAGTTTTAGTTACTTTAAAATAATGTAACTGTACTGATTAACCGCAATATAATTACCATTTAGCAATATTTGATTTGGGTTTCAACGTGAATTTATTGTTTGGTCTTCTCGACTGATGATTTGGGAAAATGCAAACCAATTACCGCTATTTTCAGACCGCCCATTACCAATCGAATGTCAATTACCACGGCAACCACGCCCGCTGCTTGACCTCATCACCCATCCCCTTCCGTTTCGGCCCACCCTGGTGCATGGCTAACAAGTTAATTTCACAATGTTTGCGGCTTGAGTGCGAACAAACAAATTGCGTGGCATTTCCGGCTCCCAGGGGGCTTCGAGTGGCGACAGCAAAGAGACCAACAAATCAATTGGCCAAAGGGGTTGGAGGGGGATGAGGGTGGTGCCCTAAACAACCGCCAATCAAAGCACACAGACACACGCACAACTCGCATTGAAAATTGACTATTGATTGAGCAACAACAACAACACTAGTAAGAGCAGCAAGAACCAGAACTCTAATGTGTAAATTATTATTACTAATACGACATGTGGTGAGCGGTCATGGCAGTTAATGAAGACTCGACAAGCGAGGGAAGTTTTCATTGCGAGAAAGGATTTTCAATATCTTTAAAAATATTATTTCTAGAAAATCTACAGAAAAATAGGTGTCTTTAATTTTTGAAAATGGTTTAAACACTCCAATTTTATTGAATGGAAAAAAAATAAAAAATAAATGTGAAACAAAAGTGAAATCCCCACGATCTATAAAGGGTGGAGGGCGGAAAACCTCTTTGTCAGCCCTCGCTCACCACCCGATACCCAATTAAATGCATACCCACCTTGCCCCCAAAACACAACCGCTGTTGACCAAATGTGCTTACATTTGCATAGTGCGAGGGGGCGAGTGTGAGTGCGAGTCCAGTGGGGCTCTCAACGTTAATGCAATAATAAATTTTATTTATACCTCTACATGCATGCAGACACGCACACTGGCGCCTGCACTTATGTATGGTACACACAAAAACTAATTACACGCCACAATGATTACATTTTACAGCGCCATCGAGCTTTTGTTGAGCAACTACAACAATAGCAACAATTGCAGGAGCCGGAAGTGTTAAACAACAAACACTGCCACCCACACGAACGCATCAACATCCACACACTGGGCAACACATCGGGCTCCAGCCGAAAAATGTTGAGCATTACGGAAAAGCTTCCCGAGAAGTTTGGCCCCTGGCAATTCTGAATTGTGGTAATAAAAACTTTCCCCTCAATGAATGACACCTTGGGGCATTGCGAATAACTCTTCAACTAATGCAGTTCCCCCTAAAAATTATGCTAAAATAATAGAGTAAACTAATAAAGGAAAAGGAATCTTTGGATATATTCCTAGTTTTGAGAACTGATTTGGAGTTACTTTATCTACACATTGTCATGAAATATTAAAGAGCAAAGGTGCTCAAATATATGTTTTTAAAGTTACCTAAACTTCTATAAAAAATAAAAATAAAATATTTTATCAAAGATCTTTACGCTAAGTAGCCATAAAATAAAAATATAAAAATTTTAACCTAATTATATGATATAATCTCTTTAAAAGGGTTTCAACATTGTTGTTATATGGACTTTTCTTTATAGCAGAGTATCAACATGGTTGTTACTCTCTTTGATTCGCATATTTGCAGGAATCCAATTTGCCCTCGTTATGTTCGAGTACCGGATATGCATAACAAACCGCAGGAAGTGGTACGCTCAGCAGTCCGTAGTCTGCTTTTCAGCGCTCTTCTGCGGAAAGCGAGTCAACAGGCAGCGGTAAACACCAGAAACTGCAGCGGCGCTCGGCATGCGTTCCCGTGCATATTTTAATCACCACAACAATATCATCAACGCAGCAGACGGGCCATTGAAAAGGTTACCCTCTCTCACCCGGGGTATGTTGGACTGAAACTCCCCATCGTTAGGACCACATTCCCGTAAGTAATTGGCCGGGTAACTGCCATTCGGTGGACATTTATTATTATAATTTTATTCCCTTTACACTCCATTGCGCTG